CGCGTACCCGAACAAATTTTTTTATCGCAGTGTTGAATTTTTTTCGTTTCATTCGAGAGCTGCGTGCGTGTGTTATAAAGGAATTTTATCATAGATTTCGTACGTGTCGCTAAATGAATTCTGACTCGTTTGTCTTCTTTCACCTTTTTTAACTTTTCGTCTCTTCGTTTTATTTGACAGCTAGGTACATAAATGGACTAGTAATTTGAAAACTAGTAGGAAGAACGTGTCAATTAAGTTACAATAAAGTATAACACGAGTTTTCAACACGTGACTTTTAATGCACGACATGCAGGCTTGTCTGTAACTTATATAAACAATTTTAATGAATGATGACGATGTCTCTTAGCGGCAACAAATTAATTCATCCGGATACACGAAGCGCAAGTATATGCATATAACGTATATAGACCGAAGTTGGTTTCTGCAGATAGTTTATACTGTAGTCCCAATGGACAGTGTGTAGCCTGAAGCTTCAATTCTCTAAAGTAATGAACTCTTGGATATCTTATCCCTCGACTCAGTTATATTTGCCTATTTTATTATTATCTTTTATTATATTTTTATTTTTATTATTATATATATTATATATATTATATTATATATTATGTCATATTATATTTTTTATTATTTTTTATTATATTTTATCCTCGATGAAGGTTCCTAATTATCTAATTATTTTATGCGTTAACCATAACAATTATTATTTGACATAATGCAAAGAAACATAACGAAGAACGCGGATAAAAATTAAAATGTGATATATATATGAAATCGTATAGAAATTTTTGGCGATTGTGACAGAAAATTAATATAGAGAGTTTTGAAAAATATTCTCTTAAGAACTCTTTATTTAAATCTTACAGATAATATCATATAAGTACTATTGTAAAATTAGTAAATTATCGAACAGATTTGAAGTGAAAGTCGATTTCATAAAATACGAATAAACTTAACATTTCTTCTATCATGTAATGACGATTATACAATACGTCGAGTACTTCCGGATCGGTAAAACCTAGGCTCTTTCATTTGTAGTTCAATGATTGTCCGTGTTCCTCGAGAATAGCGCGCTATGCAATCATACGTTTGTTTTAAGTCGGTAAGTCAGTTCGTTTGCTAACATATTAGTTATAGCTTTTTAAATCGCAGAAATTATTTTCTTGTTTCTAAAAAGATCTTTTCCTATTTCCTCATAATTATTTTATTAAACAAAAGGTAACTTCCTTTGAAAATCAACAAATAAAAAAAATTTTTTACAAATTTTAGTTCAAGTGTCAAATTTGATTTTAGAAGAAATTAAATGGAATAAAATTTCTCCATTTCCTGTCTAAATTCTATTATTTCATTTCATTGCCTTTAAAGTAATTCCCTTATTGAGAATCATCGAATATTAAAGAAAATGTATTCAGAAAAATTGAAGTTTTACATTTAGTGTTAGGAAAAATTACA